ATATATATATATATATATATATATATATATATATATATATATATATATATATATATATATATGTAAACAATCATATAAGCAAATGTTTATTGGTGAATTTTCTGAACTGTACCTTCATTTTCAGCTTCATATGTAGCTTGAGGATTGCATACATTTTCAACCATGGTTGTTACTAATCGATGCCATATGCTTATACATGCAGCTTCTCTTTCCAATTGAGGTTTTAACAATAATACCTAATTATAAAAAATTTTAGATATATAGATCAGATTGTTTATTTTGCTAACAATTAGTTTTAATGCAACTATAATTTAAATGAATAATCATAACGCACCTGTGCCAGTACGCTGAGAGTACGTGGATATACCTGAAGAGGCCAAGTGGTTGAGCTACTGTTTTCCGTAGACCACGGACTCACGCCCAAATGTTGGAGCAAGGTATTTTGAAGAGCTTCACTTAGAGTATTCCAAGCGAGCAGGTTGTGCGTATAACGACTTAAAGCTTGAGAAAATTCCGAATACATAGCGCCCAATGTAGCACCATAAAATGCAGAAATTGTACCTAAAAGTACAATTTTATATTAATATAAAATATAAAACATAACGAAAACCACAATGTAAAACAAAGTCTTAATACAAAGCGTACAAACAACATTTTTACATAAACTCACCTGTTTCCGTTCTAGCTGTTTCATGATCTAGATCTCTTATAATTGCTGCCAATATAACCATCTGTTGTTCAACTAATCCATTGACCACATATTCTCGAACATATGTACTTCTGCTTCCAATTAAATACTTATTCATAAATTGGAATATTTTTGTTGCAAGTGAAATATACTATAAGGAAAAACCGAAATTAATTAACATATAAAATTTTATAGTTCATCAATTTATAGTTCATTTATAGTATCATCAATAGACTCAAATTATATATATTCGTTACGTTCAATATATGTTTTATTAATTTGTTTAAATAATTATACTTAGGAACGTACACCATGTGGTTCACGATTGTCAGGAACGATAGTGGTAGTAGTAGTACGTTCCGCGCTTGCTTCATTATTCGTTTCCTTATTAGTATTTGTGGAAGTTTCATCCGAAGGAGCAATGGTTTCTTCAAACCATAGTCCCAAAATAGGTTCGCTGTCCTCCTCTACCGACATAACAGTTTGTTCTATATATGTAGCGAACATATATCATTATGTTAATAAAATTATCAGTATGTTAATGTTTGCGTGCACACTTCGACGTTACATCCAAGTTTATATATTGCACATAAAGATTATACATACACACACACATATTTTAAAACTAGCTTCTATATGTCAGTTATATTGATATATGCATATTTAACAAAAACTAATATATATTTTTTATATATTTAAATATATATTTTTTATATGTTTTATAAAATAAAATTGTAAAATACTAAAGAGCATCTGTACTTATTACTATTGTATCTATTTACAGTATAATAAAAAAAATATAATAAAAAAAAGAACTTGCTATTCTAGAGATGTAAAGAACATAATTTGCAGCATACATACATACATTCCAGATATACTTTTCACATAAACAATATACTTATCAAATACTAAAACATATAAATGCATATAAAATATATCATATTAGACAGATATATATTACCCTCATCAGTAGAATTCTCTGAACAACTCAACAAATCTTCATAGTATGTAGTAGAATCAGATTGACTTAATGCATCTCCTTCCAAAGGATGCTTTTGTACTCTTTTCAGTGTACAAGCCTACAAAAAACGGAATGTACATATAACACATTATTGTTTACTAAGGCAAAATTATAGATGCATGCAAAATAAAATCAATTTCAATACCTTTCTGTAGCTAATAGTAGCCAGATAAAATAGCAAGTGATTTAACGGCACCGCTTGTAAAAAGGTTACTGCTCTTTGCAATGCAGTAGCAGTAGACAAGATATCCAATGGTGCTGGTTCAGGAACTGCCACGACCAAGTCAGAATTGGCCTCGATAGATACATCTTCGAGAAGCGCACTCATTAAGTTCAGTGCATGTGATGCTAATGCCACTGACAACACGCCAAATCCTTGTTGCCTGATTATACAAAAATATTTTTATTTACTCCTAGCATCACATAAACTTTGATATATATTCTTCTTAATTGTAAGAGAATGTGTGTGTAAAATATAGTTCCAGCAGTATGTGATACTGTGTATATAAAATAATTTAAAATATAATAATTACACTTTCATAAGATTTACACGCCCACTTGCATCTCGAGCTTTACTGGGTGATTTTCCTTTTTCATCTTTCCCCTTATCTGCAGCGCTAAAACTGCTTACAGTTAATTGTGCTTGCAATCCAGCAACTAAGAGCCATACACCAATAAGTAAATGATTTTGTAAAATCTGAAAAATAAGTATATAATCAACTATATAATGTAATTAAGAGAAGAAAATAATTATAATACTAGAAAGATAGATAATAAAATAGTTACATGTCCTCCTGCGCGTGTGCTATTTTTGATGACATTTGATACTTGTCCAAATATTTCTAAACTTTTTTCAACAACTGTAATCGCTAGAGTGTCGTATTCTTCATCAGTAGTTTTTGTATTCTGATTGGTTTGATTACTTCCAGTGGTATTTGTACTACATTTAGGTGATACAGCATTAGTTATGCCAACTATACTTGATGCTGTTGCATTTGCAATTGAACAATACAGGCAAGACATAGTTAACAGTGACAATTTTTCTAATTTCTGTGGTGTTAAAGGTTCAAGTATTGGAAGTGACATCACATTATGTACAATATTAATGTCGCTAACAACAGAGTGTAGATTATGTCTTATAGTATGTGCTTCTGATGCATTGGCAGGTAAGCTGAATCCTTTTTTAGATAAATATGCTTGATACTTTCTTGTATAGCGCGACAAATGTGGAAGATTTAGACACATATCTAACAGAATATCGCCTGCCCCCATATTCTGCAATGTGCTTATATTATTTGCAATAAACATCACCTATAACAAAATATATTTTCAATGTCTCCAATTTATTTTATTCTGCTAATACAAAAATACTTTATTTTAAACAACAATGTTAGAATTATAAATGCCTACTGAAAAAATATAACTTAGAGATTAAGAGTATAAAACAGAAATATTTTGTATAATCATAAATATTTGTTTGTGCATCAAATATACAAACCTTAGTATCAGGATGTGTTTCATTTGTTGTACCATTTGTATTTTTGCTTGTACTATCTGCAGAGTTTTCATTAGCAAGAATCATAGATGATGAAAAATCTTGCAATGGCATTGTTAACTGCTCAAGAATACTAGTGGATAAATCACAGCGAGACCGCATAGATTCTTTTACAGATTGTTGAGAAGATTCCTTTTCTTTTCCTGCAGATAATGGTTTTGAAGAAGGTGGTACCTTAGCATTCTTTATTGCAGAGATAAGAGCTACTTCTTCTGCAGATGACAGCAAAGACTGTCCTGTACATAATGCACGTATTGGGAGCAATAACTGCTTTGTGGTCAAAATAGTCTGTGTGGTATCTGATTGAGTTTGTTGTTGTTGCAATTTTTCCACAAAAAGTGTGAGCAGTACTTTACATGCTTGATAAATGATAGATATTTGACACTTGGCAACTGGAAAAGGTTTTGCAAGAGTTAGTATAACATTGTCTTATGTATATAAATAAATCTATAAATAAAAGTTCTATGAAGCGCTTTAAATTATTTCTAACTAAAAGTATATAGAATTGCATAATGTTTAATATACAATATGCAATAAAGGAAAACAAAGAAAACACAAATATAATTGTAACTTCAAAAGAACAGACTACTTACATACTATGTGCAAATGTTTTTATACATTTATTCATGTACGAATATACGATATTACTTACATGAACTTGCGCAAGCGCTAATATAATCCGCGGATAGCGCAGCACAAATCGTGAAAAAGGTATCGTATTGCTCGTCGTGAGAAACAAACTTATTCTCGCTGTAAAATAAAAAATAAATGTCAGCTGTACTGTCGAGCAAAATAGACCACACGTTATAGAATAGACTCGAACGATGACAGGCATCCATTTCCGTATTGTCACCGAAGAGGGACATATTTTAACATAGCCGAAATGACCGTTTTAGCGTAACCGCACGATCAACGGAAAATTGTATTTACCTCTTGAGAATACTCTTTGCAAGTCCGAGAACATCATTTTTATTAAGTGAACGTGAAGTTCCTATTATCGGCTTTAATAACGCAGGCCACTCATCTTGACCACCACTTTTCGCCGCCATTTTCGATACTGTGAGAGTCGCAACGAGTCGTTCTTGTCCTTTACATCATCAGTAGCGATAATCACTTTTCATTGGTCCTTTCCGATATAACTTGTACCGAAATAAATAAAAGTTGAATTCAGTATATAATGTATATATGACATGAGTAGACACAAAAACTGAGAATATTCTTACAATATATCCAATTATTCTGTAAGAAAAAAATTAGTCTGATTATGATTGTTTTTAACAAAAATCAATGCTGTACACTAAAGCTTTGCTAAGTAATTTACAAATTTCACAGATTTTATTAGGTTAAGTTATACATTCATATGCGATTCACATTTCAATTATTACAGTTACTATTTATCATATGATGAATTTATCAAGTGCATCATTTAAAAAATTCTTCGGATTTGCTGTTAAGTCGTGAATTTAAAAATAAAATATTGTCTAACACTAAAGGCTCGTCTACAATTTCTGTAAGAATATGGCCCATATTCTCCTCTTTTATCGATAAAAGGGGTGTATATCAGTTGGACACGGGGCAATTGGACACAGTCCAATCACAAGTCGCTGTTCCAAGGGACCCTACAAATGTCTCTAATCACACGGTGCTGTGATTGGCTGTGTCCAAATGCACCGTGTCCAAGTGCACTGCTCCCGATAAAAGTGCCTTAAATGTAGCTTCTCAGCCAATCAGGTGTCTCCTAAGCCTCTTTTAAAGGCACTTTTATAGATAAAAGAGGATTCAGAGGCTGCGTTCCTTTTGGGCGCTAACACGCTTTAAGCGCTTCTAAAGCCCATTCTACAATTGCGTGAACGTGGTTGTAAGTGGTTGTAAGTGATTACGACACCAATCAGAGTAAAGCAATCAGTGAATAAAACATTCGGATTGGTTGACTCTTAAGCCCATTCTACAATTGGGTAAGCGTAGTCGTGAACGTAAGAGTCAACCAATTCGAATGTTTTATTCACTGATTGCTTTATTCTGATTGGTTGTCGTAATCACTTACAACCACTTACAACCACGTTCACGCAATTGTAGAATGGGCTTTACGTTCACGACTACGCTTACGCAATTGTAGAATGAGCTTAAAGGGACGTCTACATTGGAAGTAAGCAGTAAGAAGTAGGAAGTAAGAATAAGAAATTGACCAATTATAGTTGATTATTCTTCTCACATTCGACTGTGGTTGGTCAATTTCTTACTCTTGCTTCTTACTTCTTGCTATTTACTTCCAATGTAGACGTCCCTTAAGTGTCACGCTGGCTGCGTTCGTTTTGGCGCTTATAGCGCATGTAAGCATCATTTATCCTTGTTTAGTATTTGATAGAAACAAGGATGAAATGATGCTCAGAGCGTTGTAAGCGCCAAAACGAACGCAGTCTCTATCTTTCTTCCGCATTTAACGATAAAAATAGGGTGCTTTCCAGTTATGTTTTGTGTGTTAAAACTGTTTATTGGTTGTATATTATCTTACAAAATATTTTAGATAATATGTGACCAATAAACTGGTTTTGTCTTCTTCTTCTTCTTAATTGATCCGGAATTCCTATTCCATAAGCCACCCTAATAGCACAGATGTCCAGGGGACATCCAGAGGACATCCTAAGAACGTCCTGAGAACATTCTTCGTCCTCAGAACGTCCTTAGGACGTCCTCAGAAGATCTTGTGCTGTCTGGGCAGTCTTATGAAAATGATGGATGCGTTCACAGAGAGTGGAATCATATAGTGATATTCGTATGTTTCAGGAAGATTTCCAATATGAGGTCCGCCTTGGCATTATCTGAGAAAGCGATGTCCACAAAGCAGCAGTTGGGATCTGCTCCGGCTTTATAAAGGTTCCCAGACAGCACAAGATCTCCTGAGGACGTCCTAAGGACGTCCTGAGGACGAATAATGTCCTCAGGATGTCCTCAGGATGTCCTCTGGATATCCCCTGGACATCTGTGCTATTAGGGTTGATACACAATTTGTTACTTTCCTCAGTGTAATCAGAGCACTGTAGAAAGATGTGATCGATGCTTTGTACGGCATGGCCACACTGGTATGCTGGGCTTTCCACAATATTTTTATCGGCTAAATGTTTGTTGGAGAGGACATGATGCGATCTGAGACGAGATATCAAAAAGTTAACTTTGCGTGGTAAATGAGATACTTCAAAGAAACAGGATTTTTCCAGAAACTGGTTTTGTGTACACTCGTGGTCTAATGGCTCTTGCATACAGGGCGCGGTAATACTTGCCGCGCGGCTGAAGTCCACGCGACAGCCAATCAATATGTTGTTTTTCCGTAAGAGCTAGAAGGTTATTACGGAAAGCAGCATATTGATTGGCTGTCGCGCGAACTTCCGCCGCGCGGCAAGCATTACCGCGTCCTGTGTGGAGAAGCCATTACTGCGCCCTGGTGCAGGAGCCATAACAGTTTTGTGCCATGTGAAACCTTCCTATCAAACAACAGAACGGAATAAAAACGGAATTACTCTGATTGGCTGACCCCCACTATATCTCTTTTCCGTAACTGTTCCGTTACGCTATTTCTTTCTCCATCTGAACGCACCCTTAAAGTAGTAGAAACAAAGGCGGCTCATAGCGGACACTTTAGAGAATTAACTGCGCGTTCCGAAATTCACTGCCAGTACTGAAATTCTATAATATACGTAACATAAACTATAGATTTTCAGTACTGGCAGTGTATTTCGGAACGCAGCCAAACCATCTAAATGAACAATAATTTATTTGCTAAACGTGATACTTTTTTTACACTTTCTAACTTTGTCCAAACCAAGACAATTCTGAATAAATTAAGTGAAGCAAAATAAAGTGACAGTGAAATTATGAATAAATTTTTCTGTCCTACAAATTCTGTTATTTAATTTACACACATACATTCTAGGTTATTAAGAAATATATTTATAATGTTTAAACAAATTTTAAGACATCCTGGATCATATAATTTACATCAAATTTTATTAGGTAAGGAGAAATTGTAAGATAACATAAACACTGACTTTAAGAAATATAAATTAGTATTTTAATTATTAATCTCTGGAAACTATAATGTGATCATATATGTAATCATATATATATTATATGTATATTATTCAATAACATATATTTTATATAGGTACACCAAGAAAAGCTATTGCTATATATCCCAATATAATTCAGTATGAGAGTACTCAAATGTTTACCACTGCTTCAGTTAAAGAAAAATGGGATTTATATAGTTCTATATGTTTAGAACGTCATCCAGTTATAATACAATCAATGCAAGAATTGGAATTAAGATTTTACAATATGTTAAAGAAGATTGAATTTGAAAATAGTCTAAAGTCTGATCATGAGCTGAGAAAAGAAAAAGAACTGAATCAGCAAAATATGAATGTAAAAGCTAGTGAAGATATGGATTTTGTTTCAATACAAACTGCACAAGACTTTGAAGACAGTAATCAAGAAGAACTAAACAATTTTAAATTTGCTCCAACAATTACAAGTATGTTATTATCTTCTCAATAACATAGCACAAGAAAAGATCTCTTATAAAATGTTTTTAAAAATTATATTTGATATAATGATATCATATGTATTATAAGAAAAGTTACTTGTAGTAGTATTAAGTTTTCTTATCTATTTTTAAAATATTAAAATGGCCTATGTATATTTGCTATACTTCTATATTGTGTGATATACTTCTGTGTGATTTATATAAATTCTTTTTATGATAACAAATGATTTATTTGTGTGCAAATAATTTCTAGAATTCGACGAACAAAATAAAACATCATCATTAAAACGTAAACTGGATAAAAACTTACTTTTATTAGTTCATCAAGAAGTGGGTGATACACATTATTGGATACCTCCTCAGGGTATTAGACATGAAGGAGAAACCATGAGACAAGTATATCTATAAATTTTTTTCTGCAATTTTATACATGTGTATATTATTTTAGCAAAGAGTAAAAATGATTTTATCATATATAAATACTTCATTTTTCCAGACAGCAGAAAGGGTACTACAAAACACATGTGGTACTAATATACAAGTAAAGTTTTATGGAAATGCACCCATTGGATTTTATAAATATAAATATCCTCGGAAGCTTCAAGAAAAAGGAAGCTATGGTGCTAAAATATTTTATTTTTTAGCAAAATATATAGACGGAGATATTACAAATAACATAAAATACCAGTGGTTAGATCACGACGAATTAGAAAAAGCATTACCTAGTGAAATGCAAAACAGTATTTCACAGTTTATGTTACATATCTAAATAATATATGAAATAAAATATTGTGTGTATATAGATCGTCTTTGAATATTATATTGAATTTCAGGAAGTAAAGATTAATTATAAGCTTTATTGAAAAAACTAACATTTAATATTAAAATAAATATATATTTCAGAATCGTCCAGATCTCTTTCGTCCAGTATATTTTGAATTATCTCTAACTTCTTTTCCTTGCCGTCGCCGTCTCTCTTTCTTTTCTATAATCCATTCTCTACTCTTCTTTAATGGTTTACCTCTGGCTTTTTTTATATATTCCCTGTAATATAAAATTTGTATAGGAATTTTTATTTTTATCAAATAAAGTGTAAAATAAAATATAGTAATACATAAATATGTATTACTATATTTATTGTACTATATGTATATAGTAAATGTTGAAATAAAATAAATGTACTAGACACTTAAAATTAATAGCATAGTTCTAACTGTACATTACAAGATAATGAATATCATTCAAATATAAAGATTATACCTTTTTGATGTATAAGAGGCAGTTTGGTTGTCACTCTCTGTACCTAGTGCTTTTGGAAGGGCAACAGCACCACCTGTCATTAAAACTAAGAACACTTTCTTTGCTTTTGTACTATTTGGAAAATCTACGACCACACCACCAAAGAAACCAGCCTTTGTAGCTTGTGTGGTAACTAATTCAATTTGTTGACTGTTCTCTGGGTAGAATTGCAATACTGCTCTTGCATTTCTCGACAGACACGCAAACAATAATGAGAAGAAACAATATAAACGCTTCACAGGATTGTGTGAAGCTTTGTCTGCATAGCAAAGCCATTGCAATGCAGAAACACTGACAGCACCATCAAATATACCAGCCCTAAATGGCATTCCTTGACCCATATCTCCTAAGATCAAGTCACCATCTGTTTCTCTTTCTTTAGCTACATCTGTATAATATTAAATATATATAAACAAAATTAAAATTGGCTATTATATGTAATAAAATTATATTATGATTATTATTTATATACAAATTATATTAAATCATCATTTATATACAAACTATTAAATATAAATATTGCAATATAATTTAAATATTTACCAAGCATAGCTGAAGATATATCAACACCCATCCATATATGTCCCTGTTCTTCTAACACACTACCACTGAGACCTGAGCCACAGCCAATATCTAAGAGCAAACAACTCTGATCTTCAGGTAATGCGAGAAGTTCTATAGCACGTTCACACATCTGTACTTGAATATCTATCATACGAGAACTGCAAATATATGGATTTTATTAAGAGATATAGATACATATAAAATTAAGAAAGATATAAATACATATAAAAATATGAAAATAAGATATAAATACATATAAAAATTATATAAAGATTTATATAATCTTATATAATACATATAAATAATTATATAAAGATTTACCTTTGAGTATATTTCTTGGCTTCTGTTTCATTATAGTACTGTCACAGAAAAAGAAAATATAAAATTAGTTTCTTCATTAATTTATTAATATTAAAGAGGACACATAATCTATAATTATACAAAAAACTTTATTATATATATTTAAATAGTAGTGAGTGTGTTACTATATTCCTTAACCTCAAAGATACAGTAATTCATTATAAGTTGAAAAGTTATATAAATCAAAATACTTACCACCTCAGGTGGTGCCATATGTTCTGGACGCTTAGACATAATGTCTGTTTTATAACTAATAATTTATAACTTTCAAAAATTGTTGTAAGAATATATTCAATAAACACGTGAAACACAAATATAACCTACTCAAACAAAAGCTGCGTTCCGTTTCACGCATATGCGCGCATTTATCCATAGTTCATGTTACGTATATTGTAGGCAATGCGCGCATAATGTGTGAAGTGGAACGCAACCAAAGAGTATACTTCTTCTTCTTCTACTGATTGGTTGACGAGAAAATTATTAAACCCCTCCCGAAACAATAGGTTTGTTCTTTCGACCTGAACTGGCTGCACTAGTTCACGAAGTTTGCACTAATGCGTTCTTTCGATCAGAACAGTGCAAGAAAATGTGTTCTTTCGAACAGTGCAGGCTGAACTAGTGCAGCGAGTTCAGTGAACTGACTGCCCTAGGTCTGGAGGTAGAGCAAGCAGTGCAGGGCAGCTAACCGAAAAAATTTAAATTTGTATCTATAACCTGTAAAATCGGTATACCTAGTTGACATTACGTAGAAGAAATAATCTGACGATGGAATCTATAAACAGTAAGTAAATACTTAAATATATAATAAATATATAATGTAGATAAATATATAATAAATATATAATGTAGATAAATATATAATAAATATATAATAAACATATAATGTAGATAAATATATAATAAATATATAATGTAGAATGTTATCCAAACAGCACAAAATATCCGAAAGACATCCTGGGAAGGCTCTTGGACGTTTTTTCGGAGGGATTTGTTGTATGGGTATCCAACACAAAACAGTTTTTAAAAGAAATAGGATTGTTCAACAAAACATAAAATGCTATAAATACGAAAACATGACCATAAATTGATCTATGTTATTTAATCCAGCCATGTTGTCCGTCATCTTACACTGCTCTAACTTGCTCTTACCCGTTCTTTTCAGACCCATATGTATCTTTGCACTGGTCTGCACTATCTTGAACTTTCTTCAACTAGTACAGTTCCAGTGCAGCCCTAGGTCAGGTCGAAAGAACAAACCTACTATTAATCCAGGCTGCGTTTCGATTTTCCTGGGTGAAAAAGTACTATAGAATATGTAACATATATTATAGTACTTTTAGGGTGCATTCGGGGAGCTCGCTATTAGCGCTATTCAGCGCTACAGTGTCATTTTATCCTTGTTGTATATTTAGGTTGCGTTCCAAAACATCCTTTTTGAAGAAATTTTACTCGATATTCAATATTTACTCAATAGTATATATAACGTGAACTATAAGTATTGAGTAAAATTTTTCTCAAAAAAAACGTTTTGGAATGCAGCCCTAAGGAGCAATAAAGATAGAAGAACGCGGTAGCGATAGTAGCGCACCCCGAACGCACCCTTAGTATATAGTGCACTCGGGTGAGTAATTTAAATACACTCCCAAAGAGAGCGTGTAAAAAATATCGATAGAAGTCCCAAAATCAATTACTTAATTAAAATTTTTCGAGAATCGATATTTGAACGATTATACTTTCCACATATAAATTGAAACAAATTAAATTGAAACTTAGAATAAAAGAAAGACTAAAAAGGAAAGCTTTAAAAAAAAATAGAAGTAGAAGTCTTTTCAAAATTTTTCATACGTAACCTGTAAAACATGCATAGTACTTTTTAAAATTATTATTTGAATTAACATACCCTGTATATTATCATAAAGTCAAATTATATATATATATATATATATATATATATATATATATATATATATATATGGATGTGTGTTTTAAAACACAAAATATAAATTATTAAAACATACATATTGCATATATGTGCTCGCGCACAATATAAAGACCATTATATAAATTTATAAATTTGATTTTCTCTGTACAAAAGAAATTCTAGCTATTTTCACTAAATGTGCTCGTGTATTAATTCCTAACAGATAACGTGTTTTACTTAATATTAGT